CACTTTACCATGGGGTGAGGATATAAGAGACTTTATTGCAGAGTTCAAAGGGAAGAGCAGAGAATCCATCTTCAGTAAAAATGTATTTGGTGGTTTTAACAAAAGGCCCCATTCTGCCCTAAAGAGGAGAGCAGCTCCTGATCTGCGGATGGGGCAATGGGGTGGCTTTACACACAGCAGGCTGGGTTACAGGACACCATTAGGAATCGTTTTAATGTCATGCTTCTTAGTTATGTTCAATAGGCTGAGCTGCCATTAGTTTGGCTTCTTCTTGATGTGGGCTAAGAAGTAGGGTTCTCTCTGTGTGGCTACACGAGGGCTATCTGCACAGCACACAGTCTCAGATCAGGGATAAGAGGGGACAGGTATATTACTTTTAGCTGTCTGAAAACTTGGCATTGGGCATTTGCACCTTTCGATGCTGAAAACAAACAACCCGTAACCCCCAGCAGTTACTAATGAATCAACCAAATATTAAAATGTCTCCCCTTTTCTTAACCTGAATCTATGCCCAAGAACAACAATTTAGATGTGAAAAAGGGTTAAATGCTTGTATTGTCTAAAGCAGAGGTGGGCAAACTCTGGCCCTCAGACTGTGGTGCAACTACAAATCCCATGAGGCACTACAAGACTCTGACAGCCACAGGTGTGATTCCCATAGGCAGATGCATGATGGGATTTGGGATAATGAGAATTACTTACCTTATTCCTTGCTCCTCTGGCAGCTGGCAATCTTCTCCACTGTGATGTCCAGGGTTGTGGACGAGTACACAGCACCCTTACATACAATGCAGGACTGCTGATCCTGCATTGTACCGACATGGGAGAGCTGCGATGGGTCAGGCAGTTAAGAGGAGCCGCTTTATGAAGAGGAGGAGACCTGTGGGAGGGAAGAATAAAGTAAGTATTTTACCTTATCCCTACTACCCCAGACAAAACAAGCATTTCATCTCCGGTGAAGCCCCACTGCAATAGTAACTTTTTATCCAGCCTGGCGTTTAGCTTTAATATATTGCAGCTTGCCAGTCCTATGGTGGTTGCAGTAGTTTTCTTTTTCAGGATTTTGTTCCTTTTTACCATTTTCATACAGTGGTTCTCTCAGTACCACTATACATGTTCTAGGGTGACAATGCTTACTGTACTGTGGAAAAACAGTGTTTTGACCCTAGGACAGTGAGTATGTCAAGACTATAGCACAACCCCTCTCCTCATCTTCATAACATAAGTAGGAGGTGTTTTGCAGTTTTCAGAGGTGAGCTAAGAAGGACTAATACTAGGACTTGAATCGAACAAATGTAAAAAAAAACCTGTATATTTACCCAACCAAATGGGAGTAAATAATAGAAGTCCAATGTTAGGGTTTGCATACCCTTTAACCAGCTACAAGTGGCGCAAATTGTACTGGTGGCACAACTGCAGGACCTCAAATACATTAAAAGGAAGGAAGAAGCTGGATACAAGAGAGGGAGATAGAAAATACAGCACACAATGAAATGGAGAGGATAGGAAACAATTACAGGGAATATCATATATATGTGCTTATGTACAACTATATGAAATAGGAAATAAAAAGAAAGAAAGAAAGAAAGAAAGAAAGAAAGAAAGAAAGAAAGAAAGAAAGAAAGAAAGAAAGAAAGAAAGAAAGAAAGAAAGAAAGAAAGAAAGAATAGAGAGGGGGCAGAAAAAGATAGAAGATCCCACAATCATTTCAGAGATAATATTGCATAAGGAACTCTCTGATCACAGCACAAACTTAAATACCCCAAACTGTCATTCAATGAGTTAAAAAAAGGGCGAAGGAAAGGAAAGTTCCTCTAAGTTGCACGGCAGTATTGTCTGTTACCTGCCCCAATCACCCTCTCCTACAGAATAGCAGCCTTTGTGCCAGTCTCTTTTCTCACTCCATTGACAGCAATAAATGTTTAACCGTAATACATATAAATCAGTCTAAAGCCTTCACAGATCCTATTCATAGGCTAGAAAAAAATGCTGGAAAGAAAAAAAAGGGGGGAAGTGGAGCCCCCACCCTGAAAAAAGCAGCTGTAGAGCACTAATCTGCTTTCTTACAGTGTCATTCACCCTCTCCAGGCACATATCATGCTGTCTTTTCTTCTGTCTCCTCCTGCAGCACTGGGCCCATGTCTCCAGCACAGGCCTGTCCAGCTCTGGCCATCCCCTCCTAGACTGAATGAAAAGCTGAAGCCTTGGATGTCAAATTGGCCTCAAAGAGACCATCCTAGATTGATTTCCTCACAATTCAGCCTGACACTGAATGGAGGGGGACTGCAAGCTCTATGGACTGGAATAGAGACGTATTCTGCCCAGGAGGAGGAAGAGAGGGGGGCACCAAGTTACAGAGCTGCGTTTTACTACTGCCCCATCAACCCTACAAAAAAGAGAGTTAAAAATGGGAAGAATAGAGAGTGAGCAGAAAAAGAACTCAACCCATTCAGGCAGCGAGGAAGAAATACACCTCTGAACAATAGGCCAATATACTGAGAGGCTCTATTAATTGCCATGAATATTTAAAGTGCTCAGCAAACTGGGGGCTGGAAGGAGGGGGTGCAGGAGCCATTTATAACACCATTATCTCCCAGGCACTGAATATCCCTACAGAACCAGTGAAATGCATACAGGTTTAACTGGGAGTAAACTGTAAATGAACTCTTGATGAACACAGGCAGTCCAGGACCCCACCTCCTCCTCAGCTGTATGGATTCACCTGGTCTTGGCTGCCAAGGTATCAATGACAGTTCAGGAGATTCCTCTGGCACTGCCTGGACTTGTAGGGGCTCAAAAAACACTGGATGGAGGATACATTGTACCTGGGTTCTAGGTCTTACAAGGAGAGAGTATCAGGGGAAAGATACAAAATGTCAAATTACTGAGGAGACACAAAGATAGGATTATGTTTAGTCAATATAAATTCCTGCAGCACCCTTATATGTATATGTATTTCTATTATCTATCCAGATTGATCTCTCTGTCTGTCTGTCTATCTATCTATCTATCTATTTAGAATCTAACTGTTGGTGCTATATAAAGCCTGTATAATAATAATAATAATATTAATAATAATAATAATATCTATTCAGAATCTATCTATCTATCTATTTTTGAAGAGCTCTTTTCTATCCCCCTCCCCTCCTCCATACATTTAGTTATGTTATTTAATCATCTCACTTGTAATTATGTGTAACACACTTCACATGTATCTGTTTCCTCTTTTCCGATTTCCTTGCTTACCCCTCTGTTACTGTATGTAGTTCGTGTCTTCTCTCCAGTACATCTATCAGAGGTGTTCATTTACAGACCTGTGTATCAGAGATGAAGATCCACATCGTTTTCCTTTCTATGTGAAATGTATGTGCCCTTGCTGCAAAAGTTCTGCTTCTATCTGTGTAACTCTAGAATACCACTGGAGCACTGGAGCCCCAACAGTTTCATGTATTTATTTAAGTCTAGAATAGAACTTGGACTGCATGTATGTATACAACTCCGGTATGATTTGCTTCCATCTAACTCTGGAATAAAACGCGTACCCCAGGCATTAGATGTATCAATCTAACTCTGGAATAAAACGTGTACCCCAGGCATTAGATGTATCAATCTAACTCTGGAATAAAACGTGTACCCCAGACATTAAAACTATCCATATAACTCTGGAATAAAATACCCAAGATATTGAAAACGTCCATCTAACACTTGAATAAGGGGTGTACCCCACGTATTACATTTATTTATTGAAGTATTGAAGAGAGAGATATTTACAACGCTATTTGCAGTACTTTGCATTGTGTAAATCCAGGTTAAACCAATCTAATATCAATGCATTAGTCTCAGTAAAACAGTAAATTCTCAACCAAGCTAGGTTACCAAGAATAAAACCAAATCCCCGTCGCCCCCTCCCCACCCCAACCCAGCACTGTTTATTTCATTTAGTAATTATTGTTTTGGGACCTGGATGAAAAGAAGTCGAGAACCTTTTGCATATCCCCCCATCTAACAAAACAACGGTTTAAATCCACCTCTTCTCCAGCCGACAAAGGCTCTGGACGGGGAATTTTCGTCTGGGCTTATTAAACTTAAACAAAAGCCGCTCTGAAAAGTGCATTAATAGGACCCCGGACCCGGCTGCCAATTGGCGCTCTCAGGTGCGCCGGGCAGAGAACACCGGAGATTTGTTTTATTGAATGACTTTAATTGTCTGATGATAAATGCTATCAGAAATCAAATCAGTAACATTTTCTAGGATTCGACTGTGTACGAAAACAAGGATTGACGAGTCTTGGGTATAACACTAGGTAACAAAATGAAACATTAAGTAATAACAATTAAAATGACACAAATAAAACAAAAGTGCAGTACCAACAATAATAATAAATACCAAATATAAGAAATATAAAACAAATAAAAACGAAAAGCAACAACGAATACAACACAATCAAAAAAACAACAAAGTAAGAACAATAAAGGAAATAATAAAAAAGGTTAGAAAATGTGCTGTGCGTCTCTGTTATGTGTCTGCGTAGGTGTGTATGTATATATAAATATATGCACACAAGCACCCCACATCATACTGGATACACACAATTATTCTGCAATGTCTTATCATTTATTTGTAAACTAAGGATGATCATATTTGAAGTAGACATTTTATAGTGAAGACTAGCTGGTTTCCTTATAGGATGTGGAGCCCAGCCAGTCCCAGCATCAGAACCCCCACAAGGCTCTTTGGTTCTGGGAGTTGTGAGGCAGCTTTGGGCATAGTCCTAGGTAGTGTGGAGCAGGTGACAGAGCCAGCTCCTTCTCCTCCACTGGTGGGTTGATGGTGGGAAGTGAGCTTGTCTCCCCCACCATCTCCTCCCACCCCTCTCCTTCTCTCTGCTCTTTATCTTGCTGTCTCCCAGAGGGAGGGGGCTCTCTGAAGGTTTGGCTCTCTCCTTTTTTTTTTTTTTCCTCCTTTAGAACAAGTCTATCTTACAACGTCAGGGAGGGCATTAATAACCAATTAGGAGGGTCATTCGGGCCCTTATAAAGAGGGTAGGGCTTTGGCTGGAAGAATTCTGGCAAGTCTTCTCTTTTGGAAGAGGTAGAGTTTGCCTAGTGGGCTCCACGGCTCATACCCACCAGACGCTCAGGTTGAACGCTCAGGCAAGCGCTTGTGGTAGCTGTCTTGTGGCTTCTAAGTTACCTTGAAGTGCAAAGCAGATCCATGATGGGCTCGGTGCTCCCTGCGGAAGCCCTGGTGCTGAAGGGTGGGTTGAACAAGCCCACCATGTCCCTGACTGAGATGATCACCTCTGATATCCTACACAGCTTCCTCTATGGGCGCTGGAGGAACGTCCTGGGCGAGCAACTTTTTGAAGAGAAGAACAACCACAGCAGTCCAAAAACTGCATTCACAGCTGAGGTCCTGGCACAGTCCTTCTCGGGAGGTGAGTACACCGACATCATCCACCCATCACCCCTTGCTGTGCGCTTAGACTACCCTACCTGCACTGGATCTGACCCACCTGTATCCGTCCAGCTGGGACTTTGAGTCCTACAACCATCCTTTTACCAAATCCCCAATGCTTTCCTCATTCTTTACACACAGACTACTCAGCTAACCTGCACTGGATCTAACCCACCTGTATCCGTCCAGCTGGGACTTTTAGTCCTACAGCCATCATTTTCTAAATCGCTGCTTTACTCATTCTTTATACTCAGACTAATCAGCTATCCTGCACTGGATCTGACCCACCTGTATCCGTCCAGTGGGGACTTTTAGTCCTACAACCATCCTTTCCTAAATCTCCAATGCTTTTCTTATTCTTTATACTCAGACTACTCTGCTAACCTGCACTGGATCTGACCCACCTATATCCGTCCTGCTGGGACTATTAGTCCCAGCATTATTAGCACTATTGGTCCCAACCATCCTCTACTAAATCCCCAATGCTTTCCTCATTCTTACACTCAGACTACTCTGCTAACCTGTGCTGGATCTGACCTACCTGTATCCGACTTTTAGCCCTACAACCATCCCTTAGTAAATCCCCAATGCTTTCCTCATTCTTTACACCCAGACTACTCAGCTAACCTGCACTGGATCTGACCCCACCTGCCTCCATCCAGCTGGGACGTTTAGTCCTACAACCATCCTTTACTAAATCCCGAATGATTTCCTCATTCTTTACACTTTCTCTTATGGTTTTATTTTGCTCCTTTATTTAGAAGAATGTTCAATTACTTTAAATTGTTGTCTTTCTATCTTTTTTTTTTTTTCTAAATCCGTTTAGGCATCCTTACGAATTTTCATCCTTGCAGCCCCCCCTGTGCTATAATGTGATTCTATGCATTGTCAGAAACTTCCCCCTCTACGAACTTGCAACGAATTCCTTACCAACTTTCTCACAGCCGCTGTCTGGGCATCATCACCCGACAGAGAAACTTCGTCTGTTTTCTTCTCCCTTCAAAGTGTCGGCTTTACCAATCTGCCCTGAAATCCCATTCTGTTGTGTCTTCACGTTTTCTCTTCTTCACCACAAATCCATTCTGACTTTCCTCAATTCGTACACCCCCCTCCTCCTCTTCAGTCTTAGCCGGGCGTGTAATAAAGCCAAACCTGGCCCCCCCAAAAAAGAGCCTTAAATTCATTTAGTTAACTTGGGTTTGACCTGAGAAAAGTTCTCACTTAAACCAACGTTTTGAAAAAGAGACCCTTTAAAAAAGAGACTTTGCTTTCATAACGTCGCCAGTTTTTAGTCCTCATTCATCAATCTTGGCACAATATACCTCCCTTCTGTTGGCATCCGTGGAAAAGGCATTATCACCCCCTTTTTCAGCGATGTTTCTTTCCTAATTTGCCATGAACGCTAATTCCATTTCCATTCAGATTATGTCAAGCAGCTAATCCCCCCATTTTGTTCCAGAAATTCCTCCAGCCTTTATAGCTGCCCCTCACTACATGATGCATCAATGTATAGCTACACCATTCATACAGGCTAATGAATTTACAATTAGCCATTTCTTTCTAGTTCAGTTTAGATGAATGCCTATCACTTTAACAGTGTGACAAATTGCTGGACGGATAGATGGGGGACACTATTTAACCTCTGTCTAGAGAACAAATACCACGAATCGCTATACATGTAGTTTTTTCTTAAGGCACCTGTTTAAAGCAGGCTAGAATATATTGAAATTATGATAACGATTGCACGCATTTAAGTTGATATATTTGCTTACTGTGAATCAACCTTGCACTTTTCTTAGCGGTGACAATGCTTTGCGAATTTTTGTTAGTGTCTTGTGTATAGTCTAGAGAATCTGAAAACTCGAATTCGTTGCTAAGCAAAACGCTTTCACCTAGTGAAAAAGCAAAACGTTTTCACCAAATGTGAGAATCCTGGGTGGAAGTTGTGCCAATCGTGTGTAAAAATAGGTAATTTTTTTGTTAACCCTTGAAAGATTGCACTTTACTGGCACGAATTTTGAGAGGTTCTGGGAATCCTGATACTGGTAGAAGTGGGTGATTTCAGGTGCCCGGTACATGTTATGAGCATTACCCCTGCCTTATGGGATGGAGGTAGATCAGGTGTTGAAATATTGAGAGAATGTCTAGTTCCAAAATCTTTACTTGATGCGATTCTCATTTCCCCGATGTTCAGTCCTAGTCTCAGGCTTGACAATTTATTCCTGCTTTATATATAGAGATATTTTAAATGCTGTTTGGATCTTCAATGATCAGAGTTTACTTGCATTGCCCTACTGCCTAACCCAAGTCTATTCCTCCTAATGCATCTGTATATGAAGTACTTGAACCTGCGCTTATGGTCCATCTCTATATCCATGTTTCCTGCAGAGGTGCAAAAGCTTTCCAGTCTCGTCCTGCCATCAGAAGTAATCATTGCCCAGAGCTCTATCCCCGGTGAGGGGCTTGGCATCTTCTCAAAGACCTGGATTAAGGCCGGGACTGAGATGGGACCGTTCACTGGCAGAGTTATCTCTCCGGAGCATGTGGACCTGTGCAAGAACAACAATCTGATGTGGGAGGTGAGGACATCGTAGTAGCTTACTGCTGTCATGTTTAAGGTGTAAGCCACCACAAGCACCCTACAACCATTGAGGAACCATAAATCTCAGCATGTTTTTCCAGTCACGGCCATGCAGAGCTTTGTAGGTCCTGCACAGCTGAAGGACACAGTGGTATGGTAGAAGACACTTTTCCCAGTCAATGCAGCCAGCCAGCACTAGAAGAACCATAAGTATCAGCATGGCTAGTCAGCCAGATCATGACTATGTAGCCTGGGGCTTACATTTCCTTCATCTCTATGTGAAATGTAAATATTATTGGTGCCTCAGCCTTGAATATTGTTCCTTGTGGTCTTCAACTATCGAAGAACTCCAATTCTTGGCATACCCTGTTAAAAGAGTACCAAATAGTGGTATTGTGTCTTTTTTTGTAAACTGTTGGAAGCCAGAAGTGCATAACAGATGATCCTAAATAAAGATCCACAAGACCAATCACTTCCTACCAAACAACACACTGGCCAATGCAAGCTGGGATTTGTGGTTCCTTAACAGCTCAATGCCTTCATTCTATCTCAGGTGACATATTCTATACAATGGCCCGCTGGCACATGCAGTTCTTCAATGCTTGTACAAATTATTTGTGTTCTAGGTATCCATATCCTATACATGCTCTTCAGTTTAGGTACATAGGTTTGTGTAACCAGGTGTGCACATCTCCATCTTAATCTAAGCTCCTTCAGGGCTTAGATGAGCCAGAGATACCCCCCCCCGCCCCCCAGGGGAGGTCCTAATTGAATGAGATTAACTGGATACACTAGCCATGAATACAGTGGGCTTCAAGATTAATGACATTAATTGATACCACACCATGAACATTTCACATTACCGATCCATTTGGGATGATGTCAGGGTGCCTGGGTTAAAGGGACCCCTTGGAAGTCTAAACGTCTAACCGCTGTTTTGGTGTTTGAGAGGCTTCCAAAGTGATTGAGGGCTTCAAGGGGCCAGTTAAAACCTTTGTGTAAACTGATTGCATCTTAAGAGGAACTATTTCACTCCTGATCAGGAGATAGTAAAACATTTTGATAAGATCTGATGTGCATCTGCCCAGCCTTACAGATCATAAAAAAAGAGTGGCAGAATCCCAAAGTCTTGCCCTGATCACTTAAGGTAAAAATGTAGAGAAATAAAAGAGCATGCCATCCTGTTGACTTGTGAAACATGGCAGTGCCATTGACAACACTGCTTTTTTGTTTTTTAATTGACTAATTTGCTTCATAATGCTTGTACCATAAGTACCTAGAAGAAAGTTAGCTTTCTGAATAATTAATGTTGCTGCACTCTCTTACTATATAAATGTTGTATTTAATGTCTGATGTAAGCAGTGGAGTTTTTATTGTCTATAAGTTGCCACAGCTCGTGGTACTATGAAAACCAGTTTCCCCTGATAATGTCAAGTTGTCCGGTCCACTGCTAGCTTATTACAACTCATTTCCTTTCCCATTTATTTTCATCCATCATTAAATTGATGATTTAAGATGTCTGGAAATCTTAAACCTTGAGCGTAGACAATATGAGGAATCATTTCTTCTGATTGAAAAAGCATATGTTTGAAGCTCTTCACCAATATATTTAAAACATCAGGCTGTGAATGCTTTGCAAATACGTTCTATTCTTTATTATGTATTTGCAGTGTGTTTGTAAAGTTTATGCTTTTCACTCCAGAAAGCTATCCATTTGGAAAGGAAAAAGAAAAAAAAAGTGAAAAACTGAAAAGGAGTCTTTTTTCATTCAATGTCATTGTTTTGACAATTGAAATGAAAGCATCATTCAGTGACTTCAATTAAGACTCACTTATGTTGGGAGAGGTCATATATGCGTCGCACTTTAATGCACTACAGTCCATCCAGAAGCACAATGGGTTAAAGTGCTTACTTTAATCGCTACCCATTTGCACCTTCCATTCAAATATTACTTACAGTAGTAAAGAGTAAAGTACAAAGATTAAAGCTTTCTTTATTCATTTTAATGGGCACTGGATATACGTTATGATAATTATAATGTTGTTTTTAACTTTTATCAAAAGATACATACTTTAAACATTAACAATAAAAATAAAAATAAATGCATTAATGAGTTAGATTGTTATGCGAAGATAGTTAGATAGATAGATAGATAGAACAATAGATAGAGAGATAGATAGATTTTATATTTATAATACAAAATTGTTGTTCCCGATTTCTGCTATTAACCATATATTTTCTGTCTATCGATATGGTATTTTCTATATTGCACAACTGCAAATTTAAACTTAAGTGATAAATTTGTTGTAAAATGAGAACATCACAAAGCAACATTTATACTCACATAGTCCATATGGAAAGCCTTTTATCATTGCTATATTGTACCTTCATATGGTGCCAGGGTTTGACACAGAACTCGATCAAGTAAGGACATTTGGGGCCATAGTAAAGAGCATCATAACATATACAAATATATTAAAGTGTCGAACTGGGTATCGTACCTAAAAACCCTTTAACTTTATTTGGTAATGTTGTTGCCAGGATGCCATTGCAACTTTTTAAAAAACCAAAATCCTTACATTGACACAGGTGTTCAATGAAGATAGCACAGTGCGTTATTTCATTGATGCCAGCCAAGAAGACCACCGCAGCTGGATGACTTATATCAAGTGTGCCCGCAATGAGCAGGAGCAGAACCTGGAGGTGGTGCAAATTGGGAATAGCATCTTCTACAAGGCCATAGAGGTAAGGCAGTGTTTCAAATCCGAGTAGATAACATTGTATATAGCTCAGTGATGGGTAAAAATGAAATCTAAGTACAATATTTTTCACAGTTCAGATCAACTTACTAAACTAATGAGAGATAAAATTAAATAAGTTAAACTTGCATTTTCTGCTGAAAAGCCATAGTTGGAATGTGATCTTTGTCTAGAATATTGATGTCCAACTGGTAACCCTGGGGCCAGATGTTGTCCTTTGTGATGTCTTTGTAGACTTGTTGCTCCAATATACAGCCATTTAAGACAATTCATGTCTTTCTTACTATGCAAGCATTACCAACTTTCAACCGGCTTGAGGGGAAAGGAGTTTGAGTAGGACTTGGTGGCAGTTGATGAGAACACATGACCCATTAGAAATTATGGTTGATCCCATGGCCTATTTAATTCCTTGCCTCGCTACATTTTTTTTTAACTTAATGCAGATTGCCATTTGATAGGTGGGGCAGAGTCAGAAACCATTGCACTTTGTCAGGAATAGCGTGTCATATTTTATTTTAAAAACAGCTCCAGAACAAAACACATTTATATTCCAAGATGCGGAATGGAACAATAAATAAGTTCAATATAAGTATGTAAGCATATGGATATACAAATGATTTAAGCTAATCAGGGTATATCTATTAGGGTTGGCTACTATAAATGAAATCCATTGAATTTGCTTTTTTTGTTGGTAGGTTTTTTTTTTCACTAAACATAATTAACCTAAAGCCAGGGCCCTTAACAATTGCCCATCAGCTGAAGTCAAGGACCTCTTTTCTTGAGCACAGGTGGTATAGCGTATAGCTCTGCTCTTTAGACTGGCTCAGCTGTGTGAAAATCAGAGTAATCCTTTAACTGGAAGCTGCCACACAGCCTTTAGGACTGGTAATGGCACTCTGTACTTTAATGACAAATGTATGAGCAGTTTTGCAGAGCCAACAATAGCCTTCCCTCGTTGTCTCATCGCTCTGCAGAAAGGTTACCTTCTTTTCTAAGAAAAAAAAAATCAATTTGACATCTAACAAATAGCAAGGTGAATAGCGAGCGAACTAAGTGATGTTTGGAGATGTCCTCTTCATATATGCTTCAAAAAGAGACTCGAGTGGAGTGGTGTCTGTAAATATCAGTTAGCTAATAAAAGACTTCCCGCTAACCTGCCATTTTGTGATTTGCGTTTGACAGGCGATGACACTTTTTTGTTATCTGTTCTATTTGGGGTGAGGTCTGGGATTTATAGCGTAGCTGCAGTACCTTAGTTGTAAATACTCTGGTCAACACACAGACAAAAAAGAGGGCAATGTAGAAAAAGCCTAAAGTGCTGATGTTTCTTTTGCCTTTGTTCTAATGCCCAAAAAGTTGTATTTTCTAAAACACTGTCCTTAAGATATGGTGAATTCTGTCTAGCTACACCTCTCAGGCAAGGGTGTAAATATGGCTATTGCAAACCTCCCTCCTGCAATGGGGCCCAAAACTGTGTGGTCATCAAGCAAATAATGCAGGAATGTGGAAACCTTCATACAAATGATATGCCGAAAAATGTGTGTTTTGTATAACTAGGAGAAGTACCATTAAATGGAGATTAAAGAGACAGGGGGCCCTATTAAATCTAATTATAGCCCCTCTTTTCGGAAAAAGGCCCAGTAGCAATATATCTTCATCCAAATCTCCAATTCTGCCCATCTGCTGTAGCTACTACAAAGCTATATGATGCTGCTACATGCTGCCAATGGATTTTCCATATTGTAAAGTCCACAAATAACTGGGAATAAAGCAAAAATGCTATGACCTAAAGGGGGAGGCAGGATGGGACACAAGACCCTGCACAGAAGTTTCAACAATAGAGCATCAATCTCACCTCTGGAGCATCCATGGGATAGGCAAGCTGGTAGTTGTCTCCACCTTCATATGTCCATATAAAACCAAAATATACATTTTAAGGGATGATGGCCTTTTTAGCTTAAGCACCACCTTCCTGTCTAAATCAAGAGTTGTTCATGCTTAAACATGCTCTTGAAATCTCAATGATGCCAATGGGCCATTCTTAACAAACCTGTAGCAAGTTTGTGATGGACCAACATGGCATCAAGCAAATTAGGAGTCAGATAAAGAGCATACGAATGCAACAGAACAAGACCGGCAGTAATACAGTTTACAAAGTTGGTCTGGCAGGCACTGTCATCTTTGCCAAAAAGACAGAGGGAAGATTTCACCTCGGAAACAAAAAAAACATTGTGGCATCCCAGCTCCAGAACAATATGGCCTCTGCATTTCCTCTCTGGGGCACGCTGTGCTTGGCTCAAGGTCACCACTTGTTCACAGCCAACATGAGACACACAAGCACCCGACAGCACAGACTTGCTATTCACTGCTTTTTTTTCTTGGGTTGTTTGTTTAATAAAAGCATGTTAAATAACCCTCCCATTCAGAAGTGTCCTTGGTAACCAAGGAGCTGACAACAGAAAGTCAAAAGGAGACACCCGGCTTTACAGGCGAGGAAATTCAGTAAAAACACTCATTTCAGAGTTGATGGAAAGAGCAGAAAGACAGAGACAGAGATATTCTATACAAAAACACTCAGATGCCTTGCTACACATCTGCAGGGCTCACCTATATGATACTATAAGTGCATCTTGAAAGCTTTACACATTGCAGTACTCTATCATTTCAATGTTGGCATTCATTGAATATTATGCATGCTATTGTAGAAAAACTGTAGCCCCCATGATGTTCACTAGAGAACTAGCAATCTATGACATTATGGATAATGAGTAGAAGCAAGGAAACAACTTTAGCTGGTGCAGGAGTTGCAGAACAAATCTTGAGCGGGATAGCAGTCTTTGGCGTCAACCACAAAAATATTTAGATGAGCTGAAGGAGAGTTAAAATGGGAGATGGCATTTTTTTTCTTGGATCTGATGAAGTATTTTCAGTATGGCTGGCTCTAAATGGGGAGATCGTAGGGCGATGATCTAGCTGTGTGTCCCCACAACTTTTGTCACAATTCCAATGTGGTGCAAAAAAGCAGATTTGGTGATTACTGCTAGTTATCAAGTACAGCAACATTTAAACTGGTCTCATCACTTGTGCATTTTAGGGTGTGCCCTTTGTCACAAGTGGGCTGCGTGGTCAATCCTGAAGTAGCTGGTGAATGCTAACAGAGTTCACCAACTAAAAGTCATGTACAAAATTAAGAAATGTGGCTCTAAATGAAACAAAGTTAATTCCTTAAGTTGGAGATGATTGGTTTGGTTAGAACTATTTTCTCTGAAATAATAAGATGTTATGTGGTGTGTTGTATGGTTCAAGGCCCCGTTTGTTTTGTAAAATTGCCAATATGCAGCATCAGTATTTCAGGGAGATGTGACAAGAACTTTACATTTAATCACACACTCTTTTTAGGTGGTGTGCCAAGTCAGCTAACTGAGTCCCAACCTCCACAATTAATTCCTTCATTAGGCACCTTTTTAATATTTTCCATAGTGCACCTCTGGTGTGCTGCTTGCGCTACAAATAGTTCACCCCTGGCAACTTTTTTAACTCAATAATATGAAGGGAAAAAAATAAATATATCCCTTTTCATTAGCCTGAAGTTATTTTCATAACCAAAAACTTTATACACTTTTAAAGTGACCACAGGTGTCACCTATTTCTTAAGTTCAGACAGGCCAAAAGAATATATATTTACAATTAGGCTTCTTGCAAATTATAGCCAGAATAGGGGGATTTAGGTTGGTCAGTCCTGTTCAAAAATCTTACATTTTGTGTTTTGATATTTTAGAGTAGCTTCACTGAATATTCCTATGTGTTTTGTTCACAGACAATCCCTCCAGACCAAGAACTTTTGGTATGGTATAGCAACACACAAAGCACCTTCCTTGGCATCCCTGGGGTCCCTGGAATAGAAGAGGAACAAAAGAAAACTAAACATGGTAAGTGGCTGGATTACAACAATCAATCTCTACGCTTATTGCATACGTAGTTCGAAACCTGTATTATACTAACGCAGAAAGGACCCTATATAGAAAAAGTGAAAAGGAGAAAAACACAAATGTGTTTGCCATATCAATGAGTTTATGGGTGACGAATGGATTCTGAATATCTACTCTAGTTAATGGAGTAGATTGTTCACTTAGCTGTGCTGACTTTAATCGTCTAATCATATGCAAGGAAAGTTCTCTTTTCCCCTGCAAATTGCTGGGTATATGAATTGGCTTAGTGACCTTTCTACCTCTTTGGTAAGGCAAATCCACTATCCTTAATTGCTACTTAAATGCTACCATTACCTTTATTTTTAAAGGTCTATGTTGATAACTGCATCCTCCTTTTTTTAAGATATTAGTTTGGATGCAGGTGCATTTTTGGTTTATTTAAACTATAGACTCGGAAAAATCTCAGTAGCAACTTTGGCAAAAATTGATATGTTTTTGTATATCCAAATGATGCAACCAAATGAATTCTAGTAAAGACAAAATAGTTGAAAATTTGTTGTTATTTCCTAGATGAATTTGGTGGTATTGATTCTTCTGGACCAGTCCTGAGCGGTCGAATGCGCTGCGTCATCTGTCACCGCGGCTTCAACTCCCGCAGTAATTTACGCTCACACATGAGAATTCACACTCTGGACAAGCCCTTCGTATGCCGCTTTTGCAACCGCCGCTTCAGCCAATCTTCCACCTTGCGTAACCACGTCCGACTGCATACTGGAGAGCGCCCTTACAAATGCCAAGTATGCCAAAGTGCCTACTCACAGCTAGCCGGCCTGAGAGCCCATCAGAAGAGCGCACGGCACCGTCCACCAAACGGCTCCATTCAAGCTCATTCTCCAAACCTGCCCGTGCCACACCCGGCCTCTCTTGCTCACCACATCCCCACCATGGTCTTGTGAAGGTGGTCATCATTAAAAAAAAAAACTAATTCAAAAGAGACATCTTATAGATTGATCCTGGGACTAAGGTGGTTTGCAGCACTGTTTTTTTTATTTTTGTAGCTCAAACATCTACCTACCTTCCACAAGTTTTTTTTACACACTACCAAAAATGATGGCAAATAAAAAAAATCATGAGCGTTTGAAGTTAAAAAATACATTCATACAAATACCGAACTAAAAAAGGGCACCAGTCACATAACTGTACAAAAAATGCTCCCTCTATTGGAGGAACAGAATCAAACATTGATGTATACCTGTTGCAAGAATATACAGTAGAAAGCAAGACAGCCATTTTGTACATTGATACCATATTCATGGGAAAGGAAACCTCTATTTTTGGCTTGCTGAAGTAATTCAGCAGACAGAATGGCTGTTTTGGTTCATCATTGTTAAACTGCATTGTTGGACCTGATATATCAATCAAGTTGATTGTTGTAAATGTATTTTAAACTGTTAAATTGAAGCGCCTGCTAGAAACTCTCTAGTTTTCAAAATGACTTGCAGAAAAATGGGGATTGGGTGGCGAGGCATGCAGTACCACCACCTCCAAAAAGACATTTGGAGATGGTGGTACTGCATGCCTCGCCACCCAATGCACTTTCTCTTGTAGACATGGGTACGTCAACATAATTGGGGTAGCCATTTTTGTCTTAACACTTTGGAGGTGCTAAAAATAAAATTCTTACACTTTGAAAACAGCCCTCAAGCAGGTAAGCTACCTTCTTGCCAACAACGCATCAAAAAAACAACACAAATGAGCATTTTTGTGTTTGCAGATGGTAAGGCCTTTTGTATAACAGAGTATATAAATATCTAAATAAGTATATAAATATATATGCATATCTATATA